TTAGAGGTGCACGTGTACCCGATCATCCACTTCTGCATGGAAATCTTCAGTCCTGTACGTGCATATTAGCGTAGTTAAGAGAATAGATCAATTTTGTTTCTTTCGAAATGGTTTCGTAGTTATTTTTAAAATTTTGAATTTTAAATATTTTCGTTAAGGGTTTTGTGACTTTTATGTTGAATTTTTCACTAAAACACGTTTGTTATTATTATACAGACGATTCATCATTTTTAAAATTGTATTATACACATTATACTATACTCCTTGAATTATAATAATCTGGTAAATCTATTTTTAGGTAAAATCCACGTCCGTGATTTATTCACAAAATATTATAAAAAAAAAAATCTGGCGGTGACGGAATTTTCATATTTTTTTTTGTCTTTTAACAGCTGAGATTATTTATTTTTATAACAGTTCCTTCCACATATTACGCCTTTTTTTTTTCTTTTTTGCCGATATGTGACATATTTAATACATATAATATTATGGTCATTATATATTTTTTAATGGTTAAGCTGCAGTTGACCGAATACATCGAAATTTAAATCTTAATTTAAAATATATTAACAATATGGTTGGTTACGGCTCTTTAAATACAAATATTTAATGTTTTTTTTTTTTTTTTCAAATCGTATAATCGTAGATGCCTATCTAATGATATTATTATTTATGATGTTGTTTATAGGTAATTTTAACGGAAATTACGTGCGGGTGGAGGAGGAATTAAAATGTATCCACTCGAAAATGTTCGAATTCACTATCAAATAAATAATTTACAAGTCATTATTACTATTAGTTATACTTTAGGTAAACAGGATGTTCATCCCGAAACACCGTCAACTTTTGATTTCATACCGGATGTGTTCACTCTAACGGTGAAATTGAGTGAGTTCTAATCGTTTCGTCAGTTAATCGCACACGGACAAACAATATTATTATTATAATAATATGATAAGCGCATTTTTTCCCCCATTATTTTTCTTACAAAATCGTAGTTGTAATCGTTGTCAATCCCTCTTAAGGTTCGGGGATTTATTTCTTCGTTTTTCACGGATCATTTAAGCTTATACACTGCCCCTTATATTATTTCTCCTTCCCCTTTCCCGCACACCCACGACCGGTGGCTTAGCGTTAATTTACGATTCGCGGTCGGTAAATAATAATACTATCGTACACTTCTCTTTTTCTAAAACACCATCGCAATGATAAATTGATACTTTTTACAAAGATTAATGAATTAATATCATTCTCTTGTATACCTACGCACATATTGTTTTGTAATGTTGTATTGTGCGCTCTTGTTACAGACGTCGTTGTTTATCGCTATTTCGTTTTATTCTATTATTTTCGCGCACAAAATACCACGTGACTAGGCGTTTATAATGCACGCTCGCCGAACATGATGTTATACGTTCCAAGTTTTAGAAATTTCCCACGATTCGACTGAACGATATGATTTTTACAAAAAGAAAAACTGAACTAGGTACCTTTATCATAGGCGGATATATTGTTTTATCTAGATGAGAGTGTATTGTTTAACATTATTTATTTTTTATCCGAGTCCAGATAAATGGAAATTTATTAAGGTATCTGAAAAACATATACAATAATTTAAGACGGGTCATTAACGAGTTAAAAAGTTAATAATTAAGTTAATTTGAATTTTTAACTTGAGTTCTGGTTATTTTATTTTATTTTTTTTTTTTACATCAACAAATAACTAAATAAATTTCGATTATATCATGTTAAGTTATTTTTAATTTTCTCAATATTTACAATCCGTACATTTTTTGGAATAGGTACCGTCGTATAAATTACATATATAATATTTTCACTGTGTGTGCATGGTGTTCAGAATATAAAATGAGTGGGTATAATTTAATACTCCCGGCATAATCCCCTTATGTTTAACATTTATGATCCTTTAAAAAAAAAAAAAAAAAAAAAACAAAACAAAACAAAACCAACTCCAGGTTTGAAAATTTTTACAATGACAATAACAATTGTAACACAGAATTAACTTAACCAGAGTAAAAATTTAGTGTCAAACTGAATTCTAATACAACCTTATGTGAAAAGATAAAACAATTAAATTAAATTAATATTATTGGCCAGCCTAGTGATAATTTACTTTTTCAACACGTTTGTAGTAAATGTCGATTTAGTTGTTCGATCTTTCTTATGTGAAGGCAAAAGTTGAAGACTATTCATTTTTATTTTCTATTTTTTTCTCTGGATAATTAAATTGTTAGATATATCTTCATCTTTATCTCGATAAGTATAATAACAATTATCACTTATCTTAATATCAAAGATAAATCAAAATGTACCGAGTTGGGTCTAAACGGGTATTCTATTTTTAGATGTGATAGAAATTCTAATACCAATGTTAATCGGCATGGTGGTGAGTTCTTGATAGCCGCGAAGGAAATAATTACATCCCGTTATAATCATTTCACATTATATTGATGGTGAATAAATTTTCGTATCCACATTTTAATTCCCAAAAATATCTTCTCTCGTTAGAGATAATGCTTTACTTGAATACAGATCCATTGTCTGGTCCATCCACGCCAAAAAGTATATACAACGACTTGATAAAGTTCAGAATCGCTTTCTCGGCTTAGCTATTCGCCGTCTTCATATTTCTCAACCACCGCACGATTACGGGCCTGTAAGCTTAATACTTAATGCTCAAACCATTATAATAACGGCGTAATAAATTTTGTGTTAACTTCATTATGAAATTATTAGGTCTTTTAGAACGTCTCCGTATTCGTATTCCAGCTGGTAATACTAGGTCACGGGGTCCTTTTTATCCAGCACTATGCAGATTTTCGCACAAATTTCGCGAACAATTTATGAATAGTTAGAATGATGTCCATAACAAATTAATCAACTCTACCAAGAATACATCAAATTTGTTTGTAATAAATAATAAGTTTATCATATACGATTATTTAATCTGTTAAATTTCATGTATATAAATATATTGTACAAAATCCGAATAACGTAAATTCATGCTAATAAAATATCTAGATAATTTAAAATTTATCTTTATACAAAGCTAAATAAATCGGTACCTGCCTTCCAATTGTAATTTACTACAATAAAATACCTTAACGATTTAACCGGGGAAAAAAAATATGATTATTTCGGGATTTCGTTATTTTAAATAAGTACCTACCACGTTTTCTAGCACTAATACGGCTTCAATTAAAAAACGACAAATGGCCATATTTTTAATGATTTTTTTTTTTTTTTATAACGGTTTTGAAATCAAATTTAAATGAAAATCACTAAAAAAATTATAGCACTTCAAATTATGTATTGCCGAAATCATCTTTCGTCAGCAATGGATAATCCATTGCTTACAGATATAAATGAAATAACCTTACGTAGACTATCTTCCCAAGTTTTATTTAATTATTTTAATATTATGCCATACATAAACATCGACAAATTTCAATTAACCGCCGGAATTTATAATGATTCAATTGTTTTATTCCATTCATGTCCATATATAATTAAATGTTACTCGGAATGTATAATACAAATAGAATTCATCTAAAGAACTAGTTCGTTTTATTTTCATTATACTTAGTTATTATTATATTAAAATATGATTTGATGCACGATCCCTTTTGCGGGCAACATATTTAAAAGAAAAAAAATATGAGTAATGTAAATAGTCCCCGGAGGACGAGTGAGAATGTTGCTGTGGAATAAATTTGTTCAGAATCGTATAGCTAGAAGTAAACATCCTTATATATGATTTTTTTTTCTATACGAATAAAGAAAATCGTACTAGGATCGAATGTACGAAACGTATGTACACCTCTATATAGTTGAAAAGAAGACGTTTAATATTTGAACGGAAATTCTATTTAAAGCTTTTGTGTCGTAAATCGTAATATCAGTTTTACGTTTTACGACGCGAGGAAAATACTATCCGACAGCTCTTTGGACACAAAATAAAATCAACAATAAAAAAAAAAAAAAGACCCATATTGCTCCGAGACGTTTGAAAATATGCACGTCAAAATTCAAAAGTGAGTAAATATTATATTATCATAGGTCTTTACCTATTTAAGCACATATATTAGATGAATATATTTTTAGATCCCGACTTCAGTAAGAAAAAGCTGTTGTAAATTCACAACAAGATATATTTTTCACCCCATTGAAAAAAAATACCTTTTTTAATTCGGTCAGGAAAAATTTTTCGAAACTTAATACCTACGGCTACGATTCCTAGTCAAATTCCGTTACACTTAAATTAAAAATTGTTGTCGGTTTTTCAAATGTTTTTTATGAAACCGAAACAATGTCATTAAAACATAAAAACAAATAACTAAAAATGCTCTAAAATTAAAAAAATAAACTATAAATAAATAGCTCAAACAAATTTAGAATTTTTATTGAATTAACTTCATTCAGTAAAGGCTAACATAAATATTCAGCGAAAATGTCAGGTATCTTCGATTATTTTACCTTGAATGAACATCATAAATATCATAAATAAATATCAGAAACCGTTATTATCGCGTAAAAATTCTCGTTTTTTCCGATTTTACTATCAGTTTTTCCCATCTGTTATGAAAACTATAAGATAAATCGAAAAATGCACCAACTAGGCTAAATAGAAACAGAAATAACCCTTGAAATCGGAGCAAAATTTCTAGTAGACAAGTGGTTCACAGACAAAAAATAAAAAAATAAATATCACAGTACGGCCGACACATCCTTTGCTTGCATTATAAAATAATTTGTGTTATACTTTTTAACTTAGCGACTACAAGTGTATAATGATACCAGACTCTCTTTCGAAATTGATTTTTTTTCATTATTATTATATTATTATATTAACGGGTTTTAAGTGTTTATTCGAACCCTTGAGAGTTCACAGAGTACTTATTTTGACGATTTTAAGTGCTACAAGTCTGAAACCCTGACTTAATGTTAATAATAATTATGCGATTATACATGCGTCGCCGTTGGATACGCACTCGTCTTTTGTTGTGACTCCGCGCGGTATTTACCAATGCCATCAATGTCCGTTTGACCTTTTGTTCGCTTATATATATACACACACACACACACGCACATACACATACCTGTCTATAATATTTAATACGAATATCTATGTAGTCAATAATATTTTTTAAATCTCCGTTTTACCGATACAGTCGTATCGCTGCGGCATTTACAAGGTCGGCCGATACGAGTCAAAATGTACCTTTTTTTTCGGGTGTCTATACTTTCTTTTCATACGCTGTTTCCCGTGCCCATACACTCGACAGTCGAAAAGAACGTCTGTATCGTTTATCTAATCTTTATAAATATTATGTCTATATTTCAGTCTAGTCAATTGAAAGCGCACATTTTCGTACACATGAGATTCTTTTATATAGATGAATATCGCGCGGTCAATGCAATAATATCCTTTTTAAAACGATTTCGGCTTTACTCCTACCCGAAGTATAAAAATTCAATTTATTCCGAAATACGAGTGCATTCAATTTGTTTGCTGCGATGTAATCATATTTAGCCAAAAAGGTGTAAATCAATTAGTACCGAATTTTATCGAAAATACAAAAAACGATGTGTTATATGCACCAAAATTATCAAAACATCTATGTGATTTGCATCGAAATAAACACAAGTACTTAGTAATACCGCGTGTAGTAGAAAAATGTGTTTGTAAGTTCAACCGAAATATACGTGCGATATCATTGCGGCGAATTCGTTATGTTTTTCCAATATAATTTAGTCTTTTTTCACGCGTATATAGTTTATCACCACGTTTGTAAATTGAATGCATTCACGTGTTTTTTTTCCTCTTTTTCTAAAACGTAAAATTATTATTTCAATCAAAATGCGGTCCGTGCGTTTACACTACACTGAAATATTCAATTACTAAACGTTCGTGTCATATTTGTTTTAAATTGCTATGCTTAAATACATACGTTTATTAAAAACTCGAATTCCGAAAAGTTTTGGTCATCCTACTTACTTTTTTTTTTATATTTATAATATTATTATTATACCACGGGCTTGTTTATTCAGAGAGAGAGAGAGAGAGAGGCTGAAGTGGCTATAAGCCCCCCCGAGATTTCTGGAATATAGTGGTTTTAAATTTAATTTATGGAAGTTATATTTTGCATTCTATATTTTATACGTTCCCTTGCATTGTTTGTTAAATGTTGCCAAATACTAACGAATATAACATTGTATAGGGCGGGTTATGAGACCATGAATTTATATTAATTGCAAAAGAGCTGTCAGCTTTCTGATACTCCTAACCTAAAATTACAGGATACGTGTCTCTCACGTCGTGCAGGTATGTGCCTATTATATTATAATACTCACAACTAGATCGAGTCCAGTGCAGTCCGTGGTGGCCGTGGTCCTGCCGGACGGTAGGACGACGGACGTGGGCAGCAACGTCTCCTGGCATGTGTCGTTCCCATTGCACGTCCTCTCGGAACGGTAGCCTCCCACGCGACCTCGACGTCCCTGGCCCGAATCGGCTCCAGTCGCCCCGTATCCCGAACCGTTGCGCCAGCACGGCAACACCTGTTTGAACTCCTTCCGGAAGTTCTCGTTAAGCCACGCGTACAGGAACGGGTTGTAACACGTGGAGCTCATGGCCACGGCGTGCGCCGAAAAAAAGAACAGGTAGTAGTGTTTCCACGTAGCTGTCTGCTGATAGAAATCGTTCAACAGATTGACGGCGGTCAGCGGTAACCACGACACGCCAAATATGGTCACCATCGCTATCAACATCCTGCGGGCGATAAAAAAATTAAATGATAATAATCGCTAAATAACGATAATTTCCAGATACGCTCATGTACGGAAAAGTTATGACTAGCGTACTATAAACATCATATACTATGATATCTCCTAACCCACGTCTCGGTGCACTGGGTCAACGGTTCTTAACCTTTTTGGTTTTCCGGACCACGAGTGTTGTAAAAAAAAATAACTTTGAGGTACACTTCTTTAATACGTATGCAATCATATAAACGCTTAAAAAGTCATCTGTATACGTATGGTTTTAAAAACTGATTTTAGAGTTTGATTTAGACTAAATATTAGATTAGGTTATTACCTAAATATAGGCGTTTATAGTATACTATAGAAATCCCGATGTTAATGCCAATCGGCATAAATTAAAATTTCCCGATCGTTTGCTTAAACCCTTGACTAGTGTCTGCGGCACAGTGATAAAACGATGACCGTAGAACGACCCCCTTAAAGATTAGAATTTTCTACTAATCCGATACCCAATTAAGGAGAATAGGAACGGCCATTTTTACGGACGAAAATTAATTCGTGAAGATTGGGATTTTCAAATGGTCAATATAATATCTTCCTGCCCGTTATTATTATTTTTTAAATTGATAAACAAAAAAACGATATCTTTTTGTCGCCGTAATGTGAATATAATATAACATGTACACGCGAATAACCGAATTCATATTTATCGTCCACAATTCTGCATATGATAAACAGTTTTAGTAAAATATGTTTTTATCGTTTTTGTTTCGGTAAAAATATAAAATAAAGTACTCATGTTAAATTATTGTTATTATTATTATAACTATACCACCGCGGTGGTGGCTGTATATTATGTCCTACGGCAATTTGAATACGAAACAACATTAATATGTAAATGTGCGCGGTATTCAGGAGGGTCAGCTTTTGAAAGTGCGGTCTTATTATGTGTCTGACAAGTATTGACCGTAAAATCGTCTGCGAACAACGGCCGTCACGGTAGTCAACATCCGATTACTATACGTGCGATATAATTTTTTATTTTTAAACTACACGCACGGCTTGCTGACGCGCCGCAAAAACCATAACATTTTAATAGGCAGATATATTTTATTTTATAGTAACGATGATCAGCAAAAAAAAAAAAAAAATGAAAACGATAGAAAACCCGTGGTTCCAGAAAACTATTGTGTATCAGAATAACCTGCGAAAGAAGCACTTTTGACTTTGGTATTTCTCCGCGTATCCGGTGAGTTTTAACAGTACAATACAATAATGACTTCAACATAAACGTTTCAATTTTAATTCTAAGTTACGTCATTATATTATGTGCGCGATAGTTGGACTCGTACGGTTTATGCGGGGGTATCACGCGTGTTTTCTTAACAACACGATAAATGACACTCATTTTCTAATGTCGACGTTGAATATTGCGAATAATTTACGTTTACCGACGCATTTCGAATGTCAATCTAGGTCGGTGCAGAGTGACTGCAATGTCTCTGTCAGGTTGTCACGTCGCGTTATCCAATTAGGTAACCGAGAAACAAACATCGGTAACGTTCGGAATTTACGCATCGAAAACGACGACCGCGACCGTGTAAAAACAAGCATTTATGCGAAACGAAATAAAAAAAAAAAAAAAAACTAATTTATAAAAATATAATACTACACTCGTATAATACTAATGTAGATATAATAATTAACGACTGCCTATACTATGGAATGATCGCCAGTGGACGAGATTATAAGACGAATATCGATATTCGCTAAACAAAATGATAATATCGATGCGCAGGCATCCAAAAAAGGAATGGACGTGTGACGATATTTGCACTTTTTTCAGGACGGAAAGAAATTCAAATTAAACTGTGTACACAGTTATACCACGGAACTCATCAATTCCACGCGTTAACAAAGGCCGGTTAATTTTTAATTCCATCGAGAAATCGAGACGTCGAATCTCAGATGTTAATGGAGTCCGTGAAAGATTTTCACTAGAACAAAACGTTTGGTAAGAAAGTGCGCTTTCTGTTCCCATCTATATTGTGGTTTTTTCATACTGCATACGTGCCGACAACTTTTAATTAAAGAATTGTTAAACATTATAACTGCGTGGGGAGCAACTGCTATGATACTTCAGACGTACTCCTTTTTTTCCTGCGTTTAATAAACTTTTTAGTTTTTACGAGAATCAACTTTTGATAACAAAACGGATGTAATAATATTGTTAGGTACACGTGTTTCGACTTATCCTTCGCTGTGTTTTTGATTATTATTATTTTTTCCGAAACATAAAAGCTATGACTATTCCATATATATATATATATATATATGATTCTATAATGACATTTACTACTTCTCCAACTAGTCTCTCCCTACCTTAAAGAACGGGTTTGTTTTCCACCGTCTGTTTTAGCCTTAACATTTGTATATCTAGCATACGCGGACTCCTGAGATAATATATTATAGTGCCCCGGGCAATGAAAAAGTTTATGGGCAAAATAAAAACACGTTGAGTTTTATATAGGTATAAGAAATATATCTCGGTGCACAAGCTTCTCCCGTCACCCGTATACTACACTCAAAATATGCCCGTGAATGTAAACATAATATAATATATACATTTTCGTAAAGAAATAATGGGTGTTTTTTTTTTTTTTTTAAATTTTAATTCTCTCCGATACTTTTAGTACCCGTAGTAAGCGCTTTTAAACATCTTTTTTTTTTTTTTTTTTATTAATATCCCGCAGGTTTTAAGTCGCGGCACATTATCCCGAATTCCCGACATGCATTATTGTTATTAATTTTAAACGGAGAATCGTTGAGCAAATAAATCCTATAAATTTCATCGCACCACTCACGAATAGACTGTTTAAAAATGCGCTTATAAATAATAAAGTGCACAAAATGTTAATATACCGTGACAATATTTTGTGTGTATTTCTTTATTTATTTATTTTTTTTTTTTTAGAATATTAAATTAAAAACGGTTTAAGTCACGGGACGACGGCATAACGGAATAAAAAGAATACAAACATGTTGACGGCGAGATAGACGAGATAAAATGTTTTTTCAAAACACAAAATCATGCATTAAAAAAAAAAATAAAAAAAAAGATGTGAAAATCGACGTAAGTCGTTAAAAAGCCGACGGATTTGGAACACATCGTAAAAATGTATAACATAATATATGCGCAGTCTTATACTTCGTTTCGCAGAATACACGGTGTTGTGAAAAAAATATTCGGAAATCACAACGAGTATAATATTATACAATACTACAGCCTACAGGTGATTTTTTTTTTTATCTTTTATATTGACAATTTATCCGCCAAGTTTTAGAGTATAAATTGGATTAAGTATTCTGTCTGTAGCCGTTGTACAGACAGACATCTAAGGCTTAACACTATATACATTACATTTCAT